ACTTCCTCTATATTTATTTTTTGGAAAAAAAAATCACCCTGCTTCACTCGTATATGAGTATGTCCTCCTGCACTATTACCATCTTTCAAAAGTTCTTGGCATCTTAACAATTTTATTGTTCCACATGCTTTTCTTTTTGCAGAACCAGGGATTGAACGCAGGCCCTTGTGCTTGCCAGGGAAGCACTTATTCCACTGAGCCATCTCCCCAACCCCTTCCACATGACTTTTAAAGTGCTTTATTATGTAGAAAATCTCAGGGCTGGGAGATAGCTCAGTAGAATAAGTAGAATACCTGCCTGGCAAGTGTAGGGTCCTGAGTTCAATCCCCAGTACTGAAAAAAAAAAAAAAAATAAATAAAAAAAAAATAAAATCCAGAAAATCTCCAAGAATGAATTTTATCTTATTTTTTAGATACAGGATTTCACTACGTAGTTCAGGTTGGCTTTGAACTCATTTTGTAGCGCAGTCTGGCCTTGTACTCATGGTGATTCTCCTGTCTCAGCCTCCTGAGTGCTGGGATCATAGGTGTATGTTACCATGTGTGGCTCAGAGACCAATTTAATTTTCTATTAAGACACAAAAATCAAATCATAAGCAGTCTGGAGCCAGCAGCATGTTAAATATTTATGCAGCATCAGTTCCAAGAATGCAGGGAGCCTCTCCTGATAAAATCACAGGAAAAGTACACCTATCCTGAAAACCCAAAACAACTAAAGCATGAGGGACCCGCAGGGTGGAAGGGCAGCACACCCAAAGTGACACTTGTCCTGTTCTCTGGCTCTGTGCTGCTGCCAAACACTGTTCTTGGATTTTTAGATAGTAAAGAAATCCAAATAAGTGGGCTGGCGAGATAGCTCAGCAGACTAAGTTCCATGCTTAGGCAAACACAAGCATAGGGATTCGACCCCGGCATCACATGCCTCAGTGGCCCTGCCCCTGGGGCGTGCTAAGCCAGCCCCCAAGACTGGGCATGGTGATGTACGCCTGTAATCCCAGTGCTGTGGAGGCTGAAAATAGGAGGATCGCAGAGGAGTTGGAGCTGCGTAGTGAGATTCTGTACCAAATACATTTAAAAAAAAAATCCAAATAAGTGACAACAGCTTTAGGAACTGAGAGGCAGAGTTGCCTCTATTCTCAGATGTAATTATGGCCCTAAGTCCCATGAGACTCTCCTGAAGAGAAACAATTAGAGTGACAATTTGGCCAGTGGTAGGACATAAAAACCTTTGAGCAGCAGAGGATGCAAGTAAGACTCTGGGTTTACAGTGCTGGGGAACCAGGTAAAAGTGTAGCAAGAGCACGACCCTGTCTATATGAAGAAACCCAGCCATAAGGACATCTGTGTGTGTGGCCGGCATGGATGAGAAGTCGGGGCCACATTTGGGCAGGTGCAGCTCGGCTGTGTCCCCTGCAAGGTGGGCCCTGTGAAGGCAGCTCCTCACCTGTAGATAATACTGTTTACCGAGAAGGTGTTTCCGTCGAAGGAGTTGGCCACCACCAGGAAGTAGTCCTCTCCCACGGAGAAGAACTCCCAATCCAGGGCACTGCGGACAGTGAGAGGGCATGAGAAGTGACAGGCACAGGCGAGGCAGGGTTCTTTCTCAACTGCCTCCTGCTAGGGGCGCACTGTACTTCACTCCAGAAGGCTAAGAGGAGCTTCTCCAAACCTCACTCTAGGCGGGCACCCAACTCTAACAGAGTAGCCCAGGGCATGGCGCCAGTTAGGCTGTGTCCTGGGGGGCCAGGAGCCCATGCAGTGCCTTTGGGTCATGGTCACGTGTCACAGCTTGCTTTTCTTGCTCTTTTTTGAGGGTTAGTTACATTTTTTTCCCCTTTAAAATTTTTTTTTCTTTCAGTACTGGGGATCGAACTAGGGACCTTGCCCTTGTCAGGCAGGTGCTTATGCCACTGAGCTATCTCCTCTGCCCTTCCCCATAACTTTTAAAAATTGTACAAGATATTAAAAACTAAAACTAGAAATTCCAGTTGACCCAGCTATTCCTCTCCCAAGTATCTTCATGATAGATAAAGTCATCTTTTGTTTGAGTCAGAATCTCTCAGGATGTAGGTGGGGCTTGAGCTCACTACAGTCCTCTGGGCTGTTGTCTGAAGGTGACCATGATGCCCTCCTCCTAGGACCTAGAGGTGCAGCTTTGGTTGCACTTCCACTTACAGACTTAGGCAGGACCTTATGCAGTGGGGGTCATGTGGAGTCTCAGCTCTGGAGTCTCAAGTGGTACCCTGTGGCCTTTGGTGGCCCTGATGGCTGGTTGGGCTGGACCTGAATTATGTGGCACACACAGAGTCCCCTGGGCCTCCGCAGCCTTGCCCTGGCTGAACACTCAGGTCCCAGTCCTGGAACTGGGAGGGTGATGTTGCTTAGGCCTTTGTCACGGGGGAGCCTCCTGGGATAAGCAGTATCCCTCAAGGGCTGTCTCCCCACAGGACAGCTGGTGTGCAGGGAGATGCAGGGCTCTAAACCCCATGCCTGCTTTGTGTCCTCCTGAAAGGGGGTGTGACATCACACACCCCACATGCTTGGTCCCCAGCCAGTACCTGCAAGTGGGGATATCCTGAAACTTGACAAAGGTCTGTGCTGTGATGTTGAGCTCGTAGATGACCGAGTTGATGACATAGGAATCATTTTGTAGTTGCATTTCCACATCATAGCTGTGACTGTTGGCGACGGCCAGGAAGATCCTGTCCCCTATGCGGAAGACTTCCCAGTCTGCAGCACCAAATGTCTAGGAGGGAAGGAGGCCACTGTGGGAAGGCTGCGCCCCATGCCAGCTGCAGGAGCCCCACCTCCCAAGAGCCTCCTTGGTCTGGACCCACAAGGCCAGATCTCTGACCCCAGGTGGCAGACCTGCATTCCTTGGCTCTGGCTTCCTTCACAAGCCACACTGTCCCTTGAGGACACACAAGGAGGGAGTATGTGTGGGGTGCATGGGGAAAGGGGGGAACACTAGGGGACTGCTAGGAAAGGCAGCACAGGGCAGGAGCTGTCACATGCAGGACCCTGGCAGGTGCAAGGTGAAAATGCTCTTAGGGGCCCACCCCCAGCCCCAGCCCCTCCATCAGTAGAAGTGGGGAAGGTGGTGTACATGCAGGCTGGACACAAGGACCAGAGCTGGCGCTACAGTTTCTGCTTCTGCTTTCCACTCCTGGCTTTGGCAGGAAACTCCTGACCTTGACCCTTCTGCTGATAGCACCTGCAGACTTTAGACATCTTTGGCAGACTCACCTGTTCTCAGGTACTCAGAGAGGGTAGGAAAAGGACACTGCCTTGGGGAGGGGCCTCACTGGGTGAGACCACCACCCTGTCTGCACAGCATGTGGCCAGAGCATGGGATGCAAGCAAGGCCACAGTCCAGATGGCTGGGATGGGGGTTAGTGGGCTCTGGGGGGTGGGGTTGAAGGGAATGTCTTGAGAGGAGAGACCAGTACTCTGGCTGTTCCTCTCAAATCCATGCTTCACTCCTGTGTTGCATGTGGATTTCAGGAGCCAGAGACAGCTGCAGGTGGCTGAAGGGGCTGGACCAGCACAGAAGGGATGCAGAGCTGGGCTGCATGCAGGTTCAGAGGGATTTGGGTGACATATCAGGATTTCCACTGTAACCACAGGAGGTGCCCCAGAAGCCCTGTCCCATGCCCAAGGGACCCAGGGAAGACTAAACAGCACTGATCAAGTCATACATATGACACTGTGATTATGTATTTTGTCCTAGACTTACATGCATATGTTTAGTGTACAGTAACCTAGTCACACGTTTTATATGTATGAATGTATGTGGATATACATGCACACATGAATTTTTCCACTGTATATTTCTTTCTTTGCTTTCTTGTGTAGCACAAATTATTCTTCACTACTTACAATATAAAACAAAGAGGGACTATAGAAAAGCTCTGTGGTATTAGAGCTTAGTTCCGGTCTTTCCATAATAAATCTTTTGCAAAAGGGAGCAAGAGGTAGAGGGAAGGTGGTAGGAGGGGAGAGTAAAGGGACATAAAAAGAATTAAGATGTATAGCAAAGTACATAATCACAATGTCATACATGTGATTTAATCTTCATGTTTCCTTCATCTCAGTTTTTTAAAATGAGTTCAACATAAATACTTAGTATATTTGTACTCAGATACAAGGAAAAATTTGAAAATTTCTCCAATAATCTTTGGAAGGAACTTAGAAAACATCTACATTTTTCTGCCTCATAGCTTCCTGGCCATAATCTATTCTACTTTTAATTCTAATAATGAGAAATTAGCTTTAAAGCTGTCATAAGTAGACAATCAGGGCTCAAATCTTGTAATCTGAATATTAATTGGCAAGATACCTTTATCTTTGTATTGAGTGAGATGGTAAATTCTCAGCTTTTTTTTTTTTGGTACTGAGAATTGAGCTCATAACCTCATGCTTAGCCAGGGACACAGCTCTGCGGCATGAGTACCTGCCTGGGAAGCACATGGGCCCAAGTTTGATCCCCGGTGCCAAAAAAAAAAAAAAAAAAGCTAACCTCATGTTTGCCAGGCTGGTGCTGTGCCACTGAGCTATACCCTTGGTCCCTCCCCTTTTGGGGCATATGTCTCTAATTTGTTATCACTGTTATTTCTATCAGGTAATTTTTCTTTCTAGAGGATTTAGCACCATCTTGCAATTGTAACTGCCACCTTATGGTCTGCAGTGTTTGATCCCTCCATGTATACATTCTAACTCAGTATCCCTTCTCAAATTCTTCTGTACCTTAAAAAACATAGAAATGGGAGAAGGCATGCTCTTTTATTAAGCACATGCTTTGTGGAAAAATAATAAACAGCACTGAACTCAAATGGCAAAGGCCTAAGCCAGTGTCTGGAGGAGGTGACCAGGAGTTTACAGTCCAGGCCCCTTGGTGGGAGATGCCAGAGTCTGTTGTAAGTATGGAGCAGCCACACACACGTCACAGTCAGATAGCTCAAAAGAGAAGATACAGTCCTCAGGGCATCCAGAAAAGGGCACATCAGCACAAGGAAGTGACCTCAGCAACACCGGGTGTCTTCAGTCACTCAGGAGGGCAGGGCGCAGCGCTTGCCATACGCCAGGCCTGGGTTGCAGCCCCAGCAGCAGAAGAGAAAGTAACTGATAGAAAAACAAATGCAATTAGTCATCTATAGCTGGTGAAAATGTCCTTCAGAAATGAAGTGAAGGCAAGCATTTTTAGGGGAAACGGCAGAACTAACTGCCCACAGACCTACATTATAGAAACACTGAAGGAGGTTTTTCAGATTGAAGGAAAATTACAATGGGTAGAAATTAATATATGTAGAAAGAGATGAAGAGAACACTAGGAATGGTGTGTGGATGTTTGAAGAAAACATTTTTGGCAAATTATGGAGCTTATAACTTACATAGAAGTATGATTTTTGCCTGCCCTCAATGGCACGCTGCATAGGCAGAGATAAATAAAACCAAACTGTTGTTAGGTTATTTTGTTTCATGTGAAGTTGTTTAACCATTAATTCAGACTTGACTATGAGCATGGATACTGTAAATACTAGAATAACAAACTTACAAATAAAAGGACAGGAAGTGGAAGACCATCTCTGTGACAAGGGACTTATATCCAGAATATAGAAAGAACTTCCACACATCAATGCGAAGGCCACATTTAGCAAGTGGAAGTAGAAGGGGCCGACAAGCATATTAAAAAGGACGCACATTCACGAGTAGTTGGAAGTCATACATTAAAAGCCAGCTGAGGCAGTTACTTGACATGCTTTGGTGGAAGGCTGTACGGGAAACAGCCCCAGAGTCCAGCATGGAGGCAGGGGGTAGGCAGTGATGCCCATGGGCAACAGAAAATCACCCTGAAAAAGCACGGAAGCAACCATCTCTACCCTCAGCAGTGCCCAGCACTGTCTGTAGATTCCACAGAGTAGGAAAAGCTACCAGGTGGGGAGGGATGGAGAGTGGGCACATTGGGCATGGGAGAATTGGGCCATCTGGTCCCAGAGGTGGGTAGAAGAATCAAGCAGGACACTTAGCATCTGAACGTGTCACTGTGTGCACAAATGAGTTCCAGGGAAAGCTGCTCCCAGGAGTGGAGTATCAACCTTTGAGGATGTGGTTTCCTGTCTGGAGCTCCTGACGCTGGCCAGGCCCAGGGCCTATGGGCTGGGAGCAGAGACCATACATACTTATTCTGTCCTTACCAGCTCAGTGCCTGAGGGCATTGGCGGATGAGCTGGCCCCTGTAACCTGTCTCCTCTGTCCAGCCTGGTAGACACTGCTGCTTTTCCCAAGAGAACCCAGGCTAACACAGAAGGTTGCTTTAAACATCCCAGTTGCCTAGAAACTAAACTTGGAAGTGGTTACTGGGGCCCCAGAGCCCAGCCTTGCAGCCATTTTCCAGGTGAGACCCAGTTTGTTTCTGGTGTTAGGTCAGCATGTGGAGCAGATTCCCTGGCTCTGTGCAGTGGGTTTGGCTCTGTGGGCAAGAACTACCTCTTCATCTGTGGGATGCACCCTGCAGGCCACTACATGACCTATGGGATAGTCCTGGCCTCTGTGCTTGGGTCCCAGATGCCTTGTGGCACTGTGCTACAGAATCCTACTCCCTAGCACATCTTGGAAAATGCTCCGAGTCAAGTCCCGCCCAGATCCGCCCTGTGGGGACCAGTAACTGAGTCTGGAGTGAAAGGACACCTAAAGCCATGCGCTTCAGTCCAGGACTGTGTCAACTGTATCTTCTTTGGGCTTGTCTGACCCTGAGGGTATTGCCTGGGGACATTTCTGCGATTCAGACCGCAGGGAAGAGGTTCAGGGTCCCATGGGACAGGGGATGCTTTCCCTCCATCTCCAGGTCAGTAAACTGCTCATCCTAAAATTCTACAGGACGCTGCTCAGCTGTCTCAGCATTCCCAGGCACATCCCAGGCCTGGCTGACTAGTGATGGTTAGCAGGAAGCAATGGTGGAGCCACACATTCAGACAGCAGAGGGCGCCATTGCCCACCTGAGCCCTGCCCTGGTGGGAAATGCAGGCAGCGGTTTCAGTGTCGCAGAGCCAGAGGCTGTCGGCTAAACAGCCCAAGGGAGACCCAGGGATTAGGAGTGAGTGCAGGCTAAAGGAGGCCATTCGCTAGGTCAAGCCGAGAGGACCAGGACAGGACGGGGCCGGACAGGCGCAGATTCTGCATGGTGCTCTTGGGATCACCCCCTCCAGGGCTACCCCGCATCCCCCAAATGGGGCATTAGCACTGTTCACTCTGCTCATTTTGTGCCACATGACACCAAAATCTGATAAGTATTGCAGTCACCTGCCCGTTCTGTACTCTGCAGGGGAAAAGGGAACTTTGAACTGTATATCACTGATACCTCCCAGCAAGCAGAGGACACCAATCAGTGTGCAGCCACATGCATGTGCGCAGCTCACCAGCACACACAGCCACATGCATCCATATGCCCCACACAGACATGTGTTCACAGATGTGGACATGCACTTGTGTGTGTGCACAAGGGGGATGTGTGCACACACTAAGCACACACACACCACTTCTGGCAGATAATACGCACACGCAGACATGCATATGTATTCACACACACCTCCACATAGGCCTATGCAGCGCACACACACCTGCACACAGGCACACATGTGCATGCCCACAACCCCAGCATGTCTCCCCTGATGGCAGGCTTCTTCCTAGTTCTGAGAGGTCTGCTTTCAGCTTCCTGCACACCACTACCTGTGGAGGCCCCAGAGGAGTCTGGGAGGAGCCTGCGTGTGGCCCTCAGCAGACTCTCCCTGCTCTGGTGTGGAGGCTAGGCTACCCTGAGTCCTCTTTGAGGATGAGGTGTCTTCCCTGCCCCATGGAGACTTGCCTGTGGGACACTTGGTGTGGACAGACACAGGCTCAGTGAAAGCAGCAGAGGAGGCTGGGGAGATAGCCTGGCAGTATAAGCATCGGCCTGGCAAGCACAAAGTCCTGAGTCCAATGCCCAGTACCAGATGCTGGGCACAAGGGTTGGGGATGTGGGGAGCCCTAGGCCTAGGAAGCCAGCAAAGGCTATGGACAGGGCAATGGGAAGAGATGTTCACAGGAGGCATTGAAACTCAAGGGAGCTAGGGTGATGTGGAGAGGAGCAGGGGTATTCAGGGTGGGGAGAAAGCGAGCCCTGTGCTGCAGGGGTGCTGCAGGACCCTGCAAGCAGGATCCAGAGACAGCTCAGGCTTCCCCGACTCCCCATCCAACCAGGGTTGGGTGATGACATGTGCTTCTGCTGCCTAAATTTCAGATAAACATTGACTTTCTAGTCTGCTTATATTCCACAGGTGATATGACATTCTTATGGAAAGAAATTTTTCATTTGTGTTCCAGACATCAAGGAACCCTATGCATCATCTGCTGGGGATACACATGGGCACCACTGGCTCAGGCTGCAGTCACTGACTGTTGGTTTCCCTCTGCCAGAGGCACCAGAAGCCTGCATCTGCCCCTCCACGTAGGCACCTGGGCTGCACCACGGGGTAAGAGCTATGCAACCAGGGCTGGTAGGCCATTCCTATTCTCTCAGGGGATGGAGGAGAGAAGTCCATGTCACACCATGTGCAGCCTGCATCCAGGCTCCTCTCCCAGGGACCTTCCTGGAGTCCTGCCATGCCACCTTGGCACAGTGCTGGTGCCCACACTCATGCTTACACACCCATGCAATGTACCCTGGAGAGGGCGTACACTCACACTCTCGAGAACTCTGCCTCACCTGTAGTTTCTGGACATTTTCTACCTCATCAGTCCCCCAGGGGACTCGGCGTCCTCACTCCTCCTTTTGCACTGAGGACTCCTGGGAGAGCGAGACCATCCTCATTGTGGCCTACACAAGTGTGGCCCAGGATACTGCTACAGAGACAACTCCCTATGTTGAGTGGTGGCAGGGCCACGCTGGGACCCCTGTCATCCAGTGAACGGGCTGAGGTAGTACCCTGTGGCTGAGTGTACCACACATACTGACTGGGACACACTGAAGCCCTAGGAGCCTGCCACACTGGCGCTGTGCTCTCAGGCTTCAGTGTTAAGAATCTTAAGTCAAATAAACTCCCACAGTTTCCACATTACCCCATCTTGGTCACTCTGGCATAGCAGCAAGAAACAGGCTGAGTATAGCCCACAGCTGCGGCCCAACAGCCTGACAGCCCTGCAGGCTGGTATCAGATGCCTGGGAAGGCTCCTTCCTCCCTCAATCCAAGCTTCCCAGGCTTTGCCACATAGGGAAAATCCTGCAGTTTCTGCTTCAAGGTCCAAGAGCCTGGAGGGCTATGTCCAGGACCTGTCTTTGATGCCCTCTGTATAGCTGTCACCCCCTGCTTGCTCTGCCCTGGCTGCAATCCCAATCTTTGCCTGTGCCCTAGTCACCCTTCAAACCCACCTTGGTGCCCAGGAGATAGCAAGGACTATAGAGGCTGAGCCATGGCAGCCCAGGTTATGTCTTTGTCTTACCAGAAAGGACTGGAAAAGCCGGAAGGAGCCAACGAGCCAGATGTACAGGTGGGAGTGCACCCTTGTGGAGGTGCCATTGAAGGTGTTGGCCACCACCAGGAAGGAGTAGGGCCCCACTGTGAAGAACTCCCAGTCGTAGGCACCTGATGTGGCGATGCTCTGGTGGGGCTCAAAGCGCTGGGCGCTGGGGTTCCACTTATAGATGACACTGTCGATGTTGTGGTTGTCACCTAGAGCCAAGGGTCATAGACAATGTTCATGGTGGCCTGCAGGACCACAGTGCCCTTGACAGCCCTGTTGCAGGTCCTGCCTGCTCTGGACATATGCCGCCACCAGCATCCGTTCTGTTTCCACTCTAGCTCAGCACGGAAGACCGTGCTTCTCAATAGCTGTCCACAGCCCAGGCTCAGGCTGCTCGCTTCCCACTGCGCCCTCCCATTCTGTCCTGCAGGTCTCAAGGCCACCCTGCTGCCTCCCCCTGGGTGCCCAGTCCTGGCTCCTGGGGGTGCAGGGTGGGCCATTTCCTTGTATGCCCTGCTGGCATTACCCTCTACTACCTCTTGGCTACCTAGGGCAGAAGACTTTCAGGGCAGGCTGCCACCTCAGTCCCTCTATCCCTTGGGTCCAGGACTGGGAAACTCTGTGGTTGCCCACTCCTGCAAGATACCAAGCCCAGAGGCCAGGCTTCCTGGCTCCCTGGCTCTGCTGCCCACATTCAACAGAGCTCAGCACAAGGCTGCTCTTGGGGAAGCAGGGACTGACAACATTCAGGTGTCTGTAGGCCATCCACACCAGCACCCTTGGATTGACCCTGGTCTGCCGTCCAGGGTTCCACTTGTTCTCTTGGGCTGGCCATCCTGTGACTGAGGACAGGCTGATAGTCAGCTTGTTATTTTCAAACCAGGATAGAAGCCAGCAGGCGGAGTTCTTGTTGGCAGGAACCACAGAACCTTGTCTCCCTTACCAACACAGACGTGCAGGTGACTGTGACAGGACTCATGTGGGGTGATCCTGATACAAAAATGTTAGCAAGCTGTGCCCAGCTGTGACTAAGTTTTCTCTCTCTTTCTTTCTTTCTTTCTTTCTTTCTTTCTTTCTTTCTTTCTTTCTTTCTTTCCTTTCTTTCCTTTCTTTCTTCCTTCCTTCCTTCCTTCCTTCCTTCCTTCCTTCCTTCCTTCCTTCCTTCATTTCTTCTTTTCTTTTCTTTCTTTTTCTTTCTTTCTTTTCTTTCTTTCTTTCTTTCTTTCTTCCTTCCTTCCTTCCTTCATTTCTTCTTTTCTTTCTTTCTTCCTTCCTTCCTTCCTTCCTTCCTTCCTTCCTTCATTTCTTCTTTTCTTTCTTTCTTTCTTTCTTTCTTTCTTTCTTTCTTTCTTTTTCTTTTCTTTCTTTCTTTCTTTCTTTCTTTCTTTCTTTCTTTCTTTCTTTCTTTCTTTCCCTT